CTGGGCTGGATTCGAACCCGCCACTTTAGGTGTATGTGGCTGGCACCTTAGCCACTTGAGCCACAGGCGCTGAGCCACCTGGCTATTTTTTGTTGTTGTTGTCATTATTGTTTAGCTGGCCCAGGCTGGGTTTGAACCCGTCAGCCCCAGTGTATGTGGCTGGCACCCTACCCACTGAGCTATGTACAATAAAAATAATTTTTCTCCTAAATACACAGAAAAAGCTACCATCTGTGACTTTCCCCAATCTATTAAGATATAAAGAGCTCTAGTCTGGTCTAAGACTCTCAGCTTTAAAGATCACATTGTAGTTATGAGAATGTGTTCAAGTCCTACCTCCATCTTTTACCAGCTCTGTGATTATGAGCATAATTCCCTATTAGGGAAATGAGGTTCAGAAGCAGAATCAAGCTCACAAGGCTGCTGAAGTATTACAGGAGAGAGATCATACAAACCTCTAGCTAAAGTGAGCTTCCCTGCGTTTCTTGGTGTAGAATGCCAGAGTTTCTCTGGGCCAGGGGTTCACCTTTAGCCAGTGTTAGCATCACCTAGGGGGCTTATTAAAATATCCATGAGGCTGGGTGTAGTGGCTCATGCCTGTAATCCTAACACTGAGAGGCTGAGGCAGTGGATCTCTTGAGCTCTGGAGTTTGAGACCAGCTATGTACACCCGAGGTGGCGGGTTCGAGTCCAGCCCAGGCCCGCCAAACAACAATGACGGCTGCAACCAAGAAATGGCTGGGCATTGTGGCCGGCACCCGTGGTCCCAGCTACTCGGGAGGTTGAGGTAGGAGACTTGCTTGACCCCAGGAATTGAAGGTTGCTGTGAGCTGTGATGCCACGGCACTCTACCCAGAGGGGCAGCTGGAGGCTCCTGTCTCAAAAAAAATACCTCAGTGGAGTCTGAGACCAGCCTGAGCAAGAGCGAGACCATCTCTACTAAAATAGAAAAACTAGCTGGGCCTTTTAGTGGGCACCTGTAGTCCTAGCTACTCAGGAGTCTGAGTCAGGAGAATCGCTTGACCCCAAGTTACTGTGAGCTATGCTGATGCCAAGGTACTTCAGCCTGGTACAACAGAATATGCATCAAAAAAGACCAAAAACAAACACACACACATATTATTGGGCCTAACTATGAGAGTTCCTACTTCAATAGGCTTGGTGAAGCCTGAAAATGTACATTTCTAATAAGTTTCCAAGTAATATCCACGGACTGTATTAGGAAAATTACTGCTGTAACGTATATACTTAGAAGTAGAATTGCCAAATTGCTTTTCGGAGTGGTTACACCAACTTACACTCCCACAATAATCTTTTTAAAACATCACGCTGCTCAGATTTTCTATACAAAGGGTGTCAGGTCCAGCAGGCCTATTAAAAACTCCTATATCTGGGTGGCACCTGTGGCTCAGTGAGTAGGGCGCCAGCCCCATATACCAAGGGTGGCGGGTTCAAACCTGGCCCCGGCCAAACTGCAACAAAAAAATAGCTGGGCGTTGTGGTGGACGCCTGTAGTCCCAGCTACTTGGGAGGCTGAGGAAGGAGAATCTCCTATGCTCAGGAGTCGGAGGTTGCTGTGAGCTATGACTCCACAGCACTCTACCAAGGGCAATAAAGTGAGACTCTGTCTCTAAAAAAAAACAAAAAACAAAAAAACCCCTCCTATATCTGAAATGTATTCACCATCGCTAAACCACTCAGTACTGTCAACAAATTTACCTCCTATTCTAGAAAACAAGGCAAATGTTACCTTTTGTCAAATACAGACAATTTCTGACAAAATTAAGATGGCACATGAAAGACACAAGTTTGAGAAACTCTGAAAATGTTATTAGAGAGCAAGGAAAGCGGAGATGATGTGTATCCCAAGGTACAGCTTGTCCTTTCTCTTTTTTTACTAAATGTAAAGAGCAGTATTATAAAACATGTAACTATTTTGCAAATCAGGCCGAAGAGCATAAATTCATTTACCTTTCTTCCCTCCTTTTTGTCTAAGGGAGTATTTGTAACATACAAGCCTCACATACAGCAGGTCAGCCACTTGATTCAATGCCATCTCCTCCTTCCTTACAGTTATGAGAACTTAGGACCCTAAACAAGTGTCTCAGCACTTGGGTGAAGGGAAGTAACATCTCAATCATATGCAGAGTAAAAGGAAGGACCAACCCAGAAACATGACCTGCCTAGGTTTGCAAAGCAAGTTAATGGCAAAAATCAGTGAACCCAACACTCAGCAAATCCAGCTTTAAATATTTTGAATTATTCTCATATATTGTTAAGAATATACTCTGGTTCACTTCTTATTTTAAAAGATAATTAAAACAAATTTCAAGATCCTATAATAATTCCTAGGTCTATTCCTTGAATAACTTTCTCCAACTGTATACAGTCAATCCTCTGTATCAGGGGTTCTCAACCTTCCTAATGCTGCGACCCTTTAATGTAGTTCCTCATGTTGTGGTGACCCCCAGCCATAAAATTATTTCATGACGTAGCAATGAACTGTATTTAAGGGTCGTGGCATTAGAAAGTGTGAGAACCACTGCTCTATACCCCTGGGTTCTCTGCCAGGGATAGAACCAACCACAAATAGACAACATTCAGAAAAAAATGTTTTCACAAAATTCCCAAAAGCAAAACTTGAATTTGCTGTATGCCAAGTACTATGTTGAATCCACCTGGTTACACTGGTATTACAAGTCTTCCAGAGATTACTTAAAATATTATGGGAGGGAGGATACAGGTTATATGCAAGTGGTTTTATCCAAATGCTACATCATTTTATTTGTATCAGAGACTTGAGGACCCTTGGATTTTGGTATCCAAGGGGGTATACTGAACCCAATCCCGACAGACACTGACAGATGACTGTTCTACACTGAATCACGGATCTAGGAGGGCGACCTCCTCGTCTTACTGAGGGGAAGACTGAGGCCCAGAAGCAGTGACCCATCAGATCAGAAGCCAGTCCTCTAATTTGTCCAATACTCTTTCCACGATCCTGTGATGCCTCTCTCCTTCCACATTCGCGTTCTTCATCCTCACTCACCAGGTCTTTCTCAACAATTCTTTGCCCATACCCAATGAATTAGAAGCTCTTTTGAGATGCTAACATTTCAAACACGTTAAAAAAAAGAATAAGTCTAGGGAAATTTTCCTAGTTAACAAAATACCACTTGTTCTCCAAGAAAGTTGTTCTACTTGGATTGCAAGAAAGTCTGTTTGCTATTTAAGGTTAAGAAAGTGAAAATAAAAGCATCCTTACTCAAAGGAAAAATGTCAATTCAGAAGACTCTCCTACTGTGCTGATCTGGTTCTTCAGCGCAAGGTGAACTAGGCACTTGTCTCAGCAGCACTGTTATTTGTTGTTCAGAATGAAAAGCCAGTGAACTCTTGGGACACTGCCAGAGAGGCCTGGGAAAAAAAGAAAGTCCTCAGATTTGTGAATAGCTGTTTGTATCTTATTGGGAATGCCCTGATCTGAACTGCATAGATAACATTAGCGCGACTGCCAGGGAGGAAAATCTTTACTGGACAGAGAAAGAGGCAATGGCTGAAGGGACTTTCAAAGGAGAGATTTGTGAGCACCTTTCAAGACAGAAAAAAAGAGAAAGTCACATGTGATCTCCTCTGTAACATAGTCACAACCAGAGACTACTTGAACTGCAAAGAGTGAAGTTTTAGTCACAAAGAACACAGCCCTACCTAGTGTTCAAACATTCAATCAGAACTTTTCCATTCCAAATGTCCAGGAGGTTTAACTCATCTGAACAGTCACTGCTTACAGATGAAGAACTGACGAACCCTAGAGCCACGTGAAACCTCATTCATTATGGATTTGCTGGACTGTGAGCTCTTTGAGGACAAGCAATGCGGTGTCTTATTTTTTTATTCCACTGGCATACACAGAGAATAAACTTGTTTGTCTTTTGAATAACTAAATGAATAGCTCAATCTTTGCATTTCAAAGGCTAGAGGCCCAAACATTTGCTCATAGCAGGGCTGAGCCAAAAATCACGCCCAGTTTTGAGAGATCTCTTACGTCAGAGGAATTTTTTTATCCACAAAAATCAATCAATAAAGCTACAAAATGGTGATGGTTATACAACTCTGTGGATATACTAAAACCCATTCAATTATTTGCCTTAATTGGTTTAACTGTATGGTATGTAAGTTGTATCTCATTAAAGCTTTTATAAAAAAGGCTATGTTACTAGCAATGTATCAAAATAAAATCCTCTTAACAAAGTGGCAAAAATACCACTGCATGTTAATGTGGATGCTTTAAAAATTCAGACAGAACTATCACTATGCTCTAAAAACAATGTCAAATACAAAAATCCAAAATTATATCAGATTGATTAGGAAAATGACTATTTATATTACCTCAGAGGTTTTTTTGACTTAAAAAAGACCAGTCATTATGTTCCATTGAATACACTAAATTCAGCTCGGCACCTGTGGCTCAAGTGGCTAAGGTGCCAGCCACATACACCTAAGGTGGCGGGTTCGAATCCAGCCCAGGTCCACCAAACAACAATGACGGCTGCAACCAAAAAATAGCCAGGCATTGTGGTGGGCGCCTGTGGTCCCAGCTACTTGGGAGGCTGAGGCAGGAGACTCACTTGAGCCCAGGAGTTGGAGGTTGCTGTGAGCTGTGATACCACGACACTCTACCCAGGGGGACAGCTTGAGGCTCTGTCTCAAAATTAATTAATTAATTAATTAATTAATTCCATGGTTCTCTACTTGGAAAAATATTAGCAAATGACTCAAAGTTAAGGCTGTACTAGAAATAAAAAAGGGTATATCCTCAATTACAACGTAAGTTAATGGTAAAGTACGATAGAAATTTACACTCAACTTTTTCCAAAAATGTCCATCTTTTTAAACAAGATACTGCTTTATATTCCTTTTAAAGACTTAAATTGCTAGTGATTGAGAAATTCTATTTCAATTTGTAAGGTCCAGGATAATTTTGAAGCTTTAGACAGTATAATTTAATGTAACTCCTTTTTAAAAATACATAAAGACAAATAATTCATACTTATATTCTTAAAATTCTTTAAGACATTTACCCATTTTTCTTTTTTCTTTTCTTTTTTTTTTTTTTTGAGACAGAGCCTTAAGCTATTCCCCTGGGTAGAGTGCCATAGCATCACAGCTCACAGCAACCTCCAGCTCCTGGGCTCAAGCGAGTCTCCTGCCTCCGCCTCCTAAGTAGCTGGGACCACAGGCGCCCGCCACAACACCTGGCTATTTTTTGGTTGCAGCCATCATTGTTGTTTGGCGGGTCCAGGCTGGATTTGAACCCGTCACCTTAGGTGTATGTGGCTGGCGCCCTAGCCACTTGAGCCACAAGCGCTCAGCCTACCCATTTTTCTTATCCAAAATGCTCCCACCCTTTCTTTTCTTTGGCTTGTTTATCAAGTTTGATTAATCTCTGCTGCCACCTAGAGGTAAAAATAGTTTGTGATCATAAGCTTTGAGAAGTGATTTCCACAGAGTGGGAGGGAGAGTTAATTTGCCCATTTATCATTTTCAATTTTTTTCCCATTTATATGTTCAACATTTCCAAATAAATTTTAAGACAGTCTAATTTTCTTGGGTTAGAAGCTTAATAAACCTGAGGGATAATCATTCCTATCAATATTTTCTTTTTTCTTTTTTTGCAGTTTTTGGCAGGGGCTAGGTTTGAACCCGCCATCTCTGGCATATGGGGCCGGTGCCCTACTCCTTAGAGCCATAGGTGCTGCCCTGCTATCAACATTTTCTGATTTGTTACCTGGTTATTAGTTATCAGGTGTAGAAAACAAGAAATTTATCTATACAATCCATCATATCATCTAATTAGATATGAAATTATTTCAGTAAGACTATCACATATAGTGAAGTATAAACATCTTAGGAGTAGAGTTTAACACATTTTTGTTTTTTGGTAGAGACAGAGTCTCACTTTACCGCCCTCGGTACAGTACTGTGGCGTCACAGCTCACAGCAACCTCCAACTCCTGGGCTTAGGCGATTCTCTTGCTTCAGTCTCCCAAGTAGATGGGACTACTGGTGCCCGCCACAATGCCTGGTTATTTGTTGTTGTTGTTGCAGTTTGGCTGGGGCTGGGTTTGAACCTGCCACCCTTGGTATATGGGGCCGGCACCCTACCCACTGAGCACAGGCTCCACCCAAGTTTGACAAATTTTTACATGTGCATATGCCACTGCCCAGGTCAAGTGTTTCTGGATATTTTAATGACCAACATTAAATTGTATTACAGTGTATCAATGAAGAGATTTTTATGACAAGGGTCAAGTGAACTAAGACTATATAAATCTGTAATTTTTCCCACAGAAGGAGAAGCAGCATATCACTGTTAAGGGAGATGCATGAGAACAATCGAAGGACCCTCGCCTGGAGCTTGAGACCTCCTGACCGCACGTTTTCTTGTTGTGGGAAGTATGTGAGATTAGGAAGGGTGGCAAAAACAGTTCTTAAACTATGTGAAGACCCTCTCTCAGGAAACAGACAGTCTATCTGGAAAAAGGGTGCTATCTGCAAACACTCCTTAAAAGTTTAAGTCAGTCCCCCTCCTTTTTTTTTTTTTAGACA